CCTGGCCAGTGTCTTGGGCCAGGGGTGGTCTGTGTCCAGGCTGCTGAAGTCTGGGGGTAGAGCCTGCTCTCCAGAGGTCCTCCAAAGGGCAGGAGCAGGGCTGCAGGGTCAGTGAGTCGCAGGGTCAGAGGGCAATGAGGTCCGAGGGCAGGCGTGGCTGGGGAGCCAGGCTGCTGGCCATGATGGATGGTCCTCCGTCTGGGAGGCCCTGGGCCCCTTGCAGGAGGTGGCCTAGGCCCCCTGCCCGATCATGTTCCTGTAGTCAGGGGCGATGGTCGGCTTCAGCTCCACCACCGAGGAGAAGATCCAGTTCACCTGGAGAACAGCACAGGTGAGCCCACAGTCACCTGAGGGAGAGCTGTGGACAGTGAGGGGACAGGGTGGGGACAGTGGGGGACAAGGTGGAGACAATGAGGGACAAGATGGGGATAGTGGGGGATAAGGTGAGGACAGGGTGAGGATGGTGGGGGACAGGGTGGGAGAGTGTGGGGACAGGGTGGGGACTATCAGGGACAGGTTGGGGACAATGTAGGACAGGATGGAGATGGTGGGGGACAATGTGGGGGACAGGATGTGGGCTGTGGGGGAAATGTGGGAACTGTCTGGGGACATGGTTGGGACGGTGGGGGACAAGGTGGGGGACAGTGTGAGGATAGCAGGGGATGGTGTGGGGAATAGGGTTAGAACAGTGTAGGGGACAGGTGAGACAATGAGGAAAAGGTGGAGATAATGGAGGGGACATGGTGGGGGACAGTGTGAGGACAGTTGGGGGACAGGATGGCAACAAGTTAGGACAGTGGGGGACAGGGTGTGGACAGTGTGGGGACAGGTGAGACAATGAGGAAAAGTTGGAGATAATGGAGGGGACAGGGCGGGGGACAGTGTGAGGACAGTTGGGGGACAGGATGGCAACAAGTTAGGACAGTGGGGGACAGGGTGTGGACAGTGTGGGGACAGTGGGACAGGGTAGAGGACAGCGTGAGGGATTGGGTAGGGGACAATTTGGGTAATTGCATGGGGTACAGGGTAGGGACAGGTGGAGGACAGGTTGGTCACAATGTCGGGAGATGTGGAGGCAGGTGGGGAGCAGGGTGGAGACACGTTGGGAAAAGTGTGGTGGACAGCATGGAGCTCATAGTGGACACAGCATGGGACACAGCATGTGGGACATCATGGGGACAGCATGGGACAGACCATGGGACAGTGTGGAGATGGCACAGGGACAGCATGGGGATAGCATGGGACACACCGTGGGTCAGTGTGGAGATTGTATGGGGACAGCATGGGGACAGCATGGGACACATCGTGGGACAGTGTGGAGATGGCACAGGGACAGTGTGGGGACAGCATGGGACACATCGTGGGACAGTGTGGAGATGGCACAGGGACAGCATGGAGACAGCATGGGACACACCATGGGACAGTGTGGAGATGGCACAGGGACAGCGTGGGGACAGCATGGGACACATCATGGGACAGTGTGGAGATGGCACAGGGACAGCATGGGGATAGCATGGGACACACCGTGGGTCAGTGTGGAGATGGCACAGGGAAAGCATGGGACAGCATGTGACACACCATGGGACAGTGTGGAGATGGCACAGGGACAGCGTGGGACATCATGGGACAGTGTGGAGATGGCATGGGGACAGTGTGGGGACAGCATGGGACACATCATGAGACAGTGTGGAGATGGCACAGGGACAGCTTGGGGATAGCAAGGGACACATCATGGGACAGTGTGGAGATGGCATGGGGACAGTGTGGGGGTAGCATGGGACACATCGTGGGACAGTGTGGAGATGGCCAGTGACAGCGTGGGGACAGCATGAGACACATCGTGGGACAGTGTGGAGATGGCACAGGGACAGCGTTGGGACAGCATGGGACACATAACGGGACAGTGTGGAGATGGCATGGGACACATTGTGGGACATCATGGGGACAGCATGGGACACAGCGTGGGACAGTGTGGAAATGGCATGGGAATAGTATGGGGATGGCACGGGACACATCATGAGAGTGTGGAGGTGGCATGGGGACAGTGAGGGACAGCATAGGAGAACCGCTGGACTGTGGGAAGTGTGGGGTCACGGGGGATGGCATGGGGACAGCACGGGGACAGTGTGGCCGACCTTGAAGAGAGTGACAGTGGCACTGTAGCACACGCTGAGCAGGAAGAGGCTGATGAAGATGGTGATGGTCGTCCACAGCCCGTCCAGCTCCCCGTCCTGGGCCTCTGCACAGCTGTCATCCAGGCTGAGCTCTGGACAGGGAGGGGGTGGTCAGTGTGTGGCGCCAAGGTGGGACCTGGGAGCTGCCTCCCGGGGGCCAGGAGAAGGGCCGCTGGGCTGGGCCAGCAGTGCGCGGACTGGGGCCAGGTTTCCCTGGTGGCCTTCTCTGGTGGGCCTCAGCCCCCGGCTCCTCCCACTGGGGCCCAGCTCATCCAGACCCCCTGGCTGTGGACGGTGGCCTGGACTTCATGGGCGCTCCTTGCTGCGAGCTCCAGGCGTCAGTGCTGGGGCAGGCCAGGCAGCGCTGGGCCTGTGACCCTGCAGGGATGTCCCCGCAGCCTGTGTGGCCCCTGCTTATTCAGTGGTGACCAGGCCCAGGGGCTGGAGAGATGGCAGAGCCTGTCCCTGGTGTGGCCCCAGCTACAGGGACAGTCTGCGCTGGGGAGGGAGCTGGATCTTGTGGTAAGGGGGTGTGTGCCTGTGTGGGGGTCAGTGTGGGTGTCGGGCCTGGGTGTGTCAGGGCTTGGGTGTAGGTGCCTCCTGAGAGGGGGCTGGGATCTGAGCTGGTCAGTGTGTGAGGCCGTGGGTGGTCCCGTGTGCTTGTGAGTGTTCAGTGACTGGACACTTGCTGGCTCTGGGTGTGCATGTTGCCCGTGTGAGGCCCCAGTGTGCACGAGTGTGGGCAGGTGCCCTGTGGGTTGGTCCAAAGGGTCTGTGCTCTGTGTCTGTGTGGTTTTCTGGACAGTCCCTCCCTTGGGCCATTCAGGGCTGCCGGATGTGGGTGTTCCCAGGGGTGGGCAGTGCATGGAGGGCCTATCCCACTCCCATGGCTAGTCAACCCCTGCATGGACACAGAGAGATCCTTGGACAGGGAATCAGGACACAAGGACAGTCTCTGACAGGGGGGCTGTGTCCTTTCCTGGGGGCTCCTGAGAGGTATCTCCCTGATCAGCCAGAGTTGCTGGGGCTGGGGAAGGTCTGGGAGAGGCTTAGCCTCTGGCCGAGCCTCGTGCCCTGCGGGGGCAAACCCCAGCCAGCTGGGCAGACAGTGGCTCTGGTCTGGCCATGTGGGACCCCTCCCTCTCTCTAGCCGTGACAACGTGGGCCTCGGAGGCAGCCTGGCCGACAGCCCACAGCCCAGACGTGCCAAGAGCTCTCTGCCTCAGAAAGAACCAGGATAGTCTCACAGGGTCCCAGGGCAGGCTGGGTGCTTTATTCACACGGGCAGGTGAGGGAAGGTGACAGTGTCCTCGTGGGGTGAGGACTCGCCAGGCTCATTTACCCGGGGACGGGGACAGGGTCTTCTGGGTGAAGTGGTTGTGCAGAGCCTCGTGCATCACTGAGCATGTGTAGAGGTCTCCTCGCTGCCATCTGTTCCTGTCCACCCTGAGCTTGCTGTAGAGGAAGTAGGTCCCGTCGGAGTCCAGGACGGGCTCGGTGGTCTTGTAGTCCTGCTCCGGCTGCCCCTGCTTCTCCCACTCCACAGAGATGTCGGCAGGGTAGAAGCCTTGGATGTAGCAGGTCAGACTGACGGTGTTCTTGGTCAGCTCCTCCTGGGCCGGGGGCAAGACGTACACCTCTGGCGCCCGGGGTTGCCCTGTGGAACAGAGGTCAGCACAGAGGTCACTGACAGGGCAGTGGCAGGCTGAGCCAGGCTCCATGTGACCAGGCAGCCCCATGCCCTGCCCTGCCCGCTGCCCTCTCCCACCTGCGACTTTGGAGATGGTCCTCTCGATGGGGGCTGGCAGGGCTTTGTTGTTGACCTTGCACTTGAACTTCTTGCCATTCAGCCAGTCCTGGTGCTTGATGGGGAGGACACTGACCACGCGGAATGTGCTGTTGAGTTGCCTCTCCTGTGGCTTTGTCTCAGCTGTGCTCACCTCCACGTTGTCTACATACCAGCTGAACTGGACCTCGGGGTCATCCTGGCTCACATCTACCACCACGCATGTGACCTTGGGGGTCAGGGAGATCATGAGCGTGTCCTTGGGCTTTGGGGGGAAGATGAAGACGGATGGTCCCCCCAGGATTTCAGGAGCTAGTGTGGGAGAGATGGAGGACACGGGTCAGCACCTGGGGCCTGCCCTCTGCCTGAGACTTCTCTGGGCACCCGTCCCGCTCCTTCGGCTTAGGGCAAGGCCTGGTGACTTACGTGGACATGGTGGACATGGGGTAGGGTCAGGACCACAGGGAGCTGCAGGAGAGAAGGATGGGGTCACTGAGATATGGGGGAGGAAGGCACCCGCAGAGACAGGGTGAGTTTGGCCCTGGGCGCGCTCAGGTTAGGGCCAGGCTGCTCTTGGGTATGGCTCTTGGCAGGCCTATGACCAGTGCCCAGGAGCCCACACGTGGGCATCCAGACTGTGCCTGCCCTGGGCCTGGTGGAGACAGAACACTCTCCCTGAGCATGAGAGGCATGGCAGAGTTCTCCAGGTGGCACAGACCTGCCTGACTTCCAGAGGACCCCTCCCCGTGCAGGCTGTCCCCTTACCAATGATCTTGTCCACCTTGGTGCTGCTGGCCGGGTGGGCTACATTGCAGGTGACGGTCTGGCTGGGCCAGGTGCTGGTGGGCACAGTCACCATGCTGGTGACAGAGTAGAGCCCTGACTGCAGGACAGCTGGGAAGGTGCGGACTCCACTGGACAGGGATCCTGAGTTCCATGTCACGGTCACCGGCTCAGGGAAGTAGCCCTTGACCAGGCAGCCCAGGTTCACTGAGGAGCCAGATGTGTCCCTAGAGGTGGGGGCCAGGGGGAAGACTGATGGGGCCGTGGTCGAAGCTGCAAGAGAGAAGATACTGAGTGAGCTGTGCTGGACGCAGATGGACCCAGGCCCACAGAAGGTCCGCTGTCCTTGGCTCTCCCCAAGCATCAGGCAGGGTCTGTTGTCTGGGTTTGTGGGCATCAGGTACCCACCTGGTAGGCCCCACCTCCCTAGGTGATCCCCCACCTCAAGGATGCCCAGGCCAGGCCAGACCTCTCCTGATGGGCTTCCAGAAGGACACAGAGCCAACTGTGCAGTTAGCCCTGTGTGCCACCCCCTGCCCTTGTGGGAGAGGCTGCACGCGGATCCTTTAGCATCTGATGACCACTGGACCTGTGTGGCCCTGGGGCTCCCAGCCCCATCTTGGGCTCTGCCCATGGTGGGTGCCATCTTGGGTCCTGCTGGGCCCACCAGCTCCCTGTCCCCATGTGCTTCCTGTGGGCATCTGGCCTGACTAGTGGCCTTGTTCTCAGGTCCCCTGTGCCCTCCACTGTTACCGAGGAGTCCTGCTCTGGGTGGGGTTGGCTACCTCTGCCTGGGCTCTCCTCCCTGCACCTCGGCCCAGAGCCCAGGCCTTGGACCTAACCCTGCAGGGTCAGGTGTTTTGGAGTTGGCTCTGAGCAACCCAGTGCCCTCGGTCCTGGCCCTGGGCCCTAGGCCCTGCCCTGAGACAGCCCCTGGGACCCTCCTGATTGGCTCCCCGTAGCCCTGAGCTCTGGCTCATCACTGGACCCGTCCCTCCCCAGGTCTCCCTGCCCTGCTTCCTGAGGTGCACCATGGGCACTCTCCTTGGCCCTCTTGCCTGCCCCTCAGAGCCCCTCTGCAGCTCTGGCCTGGCCTCCAGGCACCTGTGAGCCCCGACCTCTCCCGAGCCTTCTTTCCCAGGGCCCTTGGGACTCAGCCCTGGACCCCCAGCCCTCAGCACAAGGCCCTGGGCACACAGCCAGGGCTGCCATCTGCTCATCTGGGAGCGCCAGCCCCTGAGAGCTGTCCCCCAGCCTGGCCCTCCTGGGCCAGCACTGGTTCTCCCTGTAGCCCCATCTTGCCCCTTGCCAGGGACCCCAAGGAGCCCCAAGCCCCTTTCTTCCCTTCCCACCAGCTTGCTCCCGCCAATCCTCCTGTGCTGTGGGGAGGGAGGAATGTGGACAGTCCCGGAGACCAAGGATGGGTGATCTGGGGCCAGTGGGAGGGCAAGACCAGCAGGTTCCTGATCTCCCTGGGCTGCCCAGGTCCCCCAGCACCCTACCTGCCCCAGCTCTCCTGCGGCAGTTCTGCTTCTGGTGCCCAATGCCTGGGGGTCCTACTGCCCACTCTGCCCTCCATCCGTCCAGCTTGGCTCCTCTGCTGGCCTCCCCCACCCAGGACTGGTTTGCTTCCAGAGCCCGGAAGCACCCATCCTCTCTTCGGCCTACTCTTCCCAGCAGAGCCCTCCTGGATGAGCTCCTGGACTCTGTGACCCCCCCGGCCTCCCCCGTTGCCCCCAGTTCCGGAAGCTTCCCTGCTCCCCTTGCTCTGCCTGGTCAGCTGTCCTGTAAGCACCAGGTTCTGGAAGCTCAGTCTCTTCCCAGCAGTCGGCCGACGGCTGCTTCCCTGAGCTCCTGTCCCCTTCTGGCTCCCTCCCACCTTGAACTCAGCACACCTCAGCCCTGCTCTCTGCTCTGGGCAGCCCTCTGCAGCCCCCCCTCAGCCCTGCTCCCCGTGGCCCTGCCCACTCCTGGCAGCTCAGAGCACAGCAGCCGTGGGCGCTGAGCCCCTTCTAGCCTCCCGAGCTCAGTGGGGCTGCCTGCACAGCCCTGTGCTGTGTGCTCTGGATGCCCAGAGCCCCTTGCTGGCCACTCCTGGCCTGCCCTTGCTCACCTGCTGCCCCACTGGCCTGTGCAGGATGCTTTGCCCCTGGTGCTTTGCTTCTGCTCCCTGTTTTGTCCTCTGCTCAAATGGTCCCCGCCCTGGGCTCTGCAAACCCTCCTCAGCCCCTGTTAACCTGCATCTGCTCAGCTCCTGCAGGGACCCAGGGACCCTGTAGCTGGACCCTTCAGACTCTACCTGTGGGATTGCCCTGGTCACCCACCTGCTCCAGGACACTGTGGCTATTGTCTGTTCCCCTGAGTTCTGGGAATGTCAGCAGACAGAGTGGTCCCCGACCTGCCCCAGCTCACCTGTAACTGTTATGTTCTGGTCCCCTGAGCTCCTGGGGCTCCTAAGCCCTGCCAGAACTACCACTGGCCAAGTTCAGAGTAGTTTCTCTGCCCCTGGCTCCTGACATCCTGGGGCTTTCCGGGCACCTCCCGCACCCCCACCTGCCCTAGCTAAGCTGCAACTGCTCTGCCAAGTTACCCTGAGCTCCTGGGGCTTCCCGGGCTCCTCCAATGTCTCCACCTGTCCCAGCTCACCTGTAAGTGCTGTGCCCAGGTCTCCTGAGTTCCTCAGGCTTCGCTGGCACCTCCAGCACCTCCCACTTCCCCCAGGTTAATGGTTACTTCTCTGTCCAGGTCCCCTGAGCTCCTCAGGTTTCCCAGGCACCTCAAGTACCCTCACATTCCCCAGCTTAATAGTAAGTGCTCTGTCTAGGTCCTCTGAGCTCTTGGCGCTCCCCAGGCACCTCCAGCACCCCCACCTGCCCCAGCTCAATGGTAACAGCTCTGTCCAGTTCCTCTGAGCTCCTGGGGCTCCCCAGGCACTTCCATTACCCCCACCTTTCCCAGCTCACCTATAACTGCTCTGTCCAGGTCCCCTGAGCTCCTTGGGCTTCCCAGACACCTCCAGCCCCCCACCTGCCCCAGCTCACCCGCAGCTGCTCTGCCCAGTCTCCCGGAGCTCCTGGGCTTTCCTGGCTCCTCTAGTACCTCCACCTGCCCCGCTCACCTGTAACTACTCTGCCCAGGTCCCCTGAGCTCCTGAACCTTCCCAGGCCCCTCCAGCAATCCTACCTCCCAGATCACCTGTTAGTGCTCTGTCCAGGTCCACAGAACTCTTGGTGCTTCCTGGGCACCTCCAGCACCCCCACCTGCCCCAGCTCATGTGTAACTGCTCTGCCCAGGTCCCCTGAGCTCCTGGGGCAACTCAGGCTCCCCAAGCCCTCCCACCTGCCCAGGTCACCTGTAAATGCTCTGCCCAAGTCCCCTGAGCTCCTGGGACTTCCCAGGTACATACAGCACCCCCACCTGCCCCAGCTCACCTGTGACTGCTCTGCCCATGTTCCCTGAGCTCCTGGGGCATCTCAGGCTCCCCAAGTACTCCCACCTGCCCAGGTCCCTAGAACTCCTGGGGCTTCCTGAACACCTCCAGTACCCATACTTCCCCAGCTCACCTGTAAGTGCTCTGCCCAGGTCCCTAGCTCCTGGGGCTTCCCAGGTACCTCCAGCACCCCACCTGCCCCAGCTCACCTGTAAGTGCTCTGTCC